AAATAGAGGAGTCGAAAAGTCGAGAAGTCGAAAGTTTAAGAAACCGAAATAGGACAAAATCGAAAAATGGAAAAGTTAAAAATTGAAAAATTGATAAATCGAGAAATTGAACAATCAAAACATCGAAATGTCCGAATCTCGATAAACCGATACAACAAAAATTTGAAAAATCGAAAATTAAAAAATTCCGAAAATTGAAAAATTGAAATATGTATAGAAAAATTGAAAGCTCGAGAAAACAGATCCAGATTCTTAAAAATTGAAAAATTGAGAAATCGAAGTAAAATAGTCCAGAAATTGAAAAATATGAAGTTTAAAAACGAAAAATTGAAAGTTCAAAATGTACAAAATCGAGGAATCAAAAAATTCAGAAGTCAAAATACTGAAATAACGATAAATTAAAAAATATAAGAAAAATTGACGAATCGAAAAATTGAAAAATCCCAAAACTCGAAGAAATATCCAAAAATTGAGAAATTAAAAAAATTGAAAAATGGAAATATGTATTTTAAAATAGAAAAATTTGAAAATCGAAAATTTAAAACTTCGGAAAATTGAAAAATTGAAATATAGAAAAGTTAAAAATTGAAAATTCGGGGAATCGAAACTCCAAAATTTGAAAATTGAAAAATCGAAAAATCGTATAACTGAATAATCGAGAAGCCGAAAAGTAAAAAATCAAAAAACCGAGAAATCGAAAAATCAAAGGATCGTGAAATAAAGGAGTCGAAAATCGAAAAGTCGAAAGTTTAAGAAACTGAAATAGGCCAAAATCGAAAAATGGGAAAATTGAAAATTGAAAAATTGATAAATCGAGAAATTGAACAATCAAAACATCGAAATGTCCGAATCTCGATAAACCAAGACAACAAAAATTTGAAAAATCAAAATTAAAAAATTCCGAAAATTGAAAACTTGAAATACATATATAGAAAAATTGAAAACTCGAGAAAACGAAAAATCCAGAACTTTAAAAATTGAAAAATTGAGAAATCGAAGTAAAACAGTCGAGAAATTGAAAAATCTGAAGTTTAAAAACGAAAAATTGAAAATTCAAAATGTACAAAATCGAGAAATCAAAATATCCAGAAGTCCAAATACTGAAATATCTCAAAACTGAAATATCGATAAATTAAAAAATATAAGAAAAATTGACGAATCGAAAAATTGAAAAATCCAAAAACTCGAAGAAATATACAAAAATTGAGAAATAAAAAAAATTGAAAAATGGAAATAAATATTTTAAAAAAGAAAAATTAGAAAATGGAAAATTTAAAAATTCGAAAAATTGAAAAATTGAAATATAGAAGAACTGAAAAATCGAGAAATCAAAAAATCTACGATTTTAAAAAGTGAAAAATTGAGAAATCGAAATATTAAAGAGTCGAAAAATTGAAAAATCTAAAATTTAAAAAACAAAAAATTTAAAATCCAAAAACTAAAAAATCCAGAGTCCAAAAAGTGAAAAATCCAAGAATCGAAATACTGAAAAACTGAAGAATCCAAAAATTCAAAAATACCAGAATTAAAAGAAATCCAAAAATTGAGAAATTAAAAAATTTATAAATCGAGAAAATGGACAATCAAAACATCGAATTGTCCGAAAAATCGAAAATTTAAAAATTCGGAAAATTGAAAAATTAAAATATAGAAGAATTCAAAGCTCGAGAAAATCGAATTGAGAAAAACCAAGTTGGCAAAAAATCGAAACAAAAATATCATAAAACCCCAAAATTGAAAATAGAAATACTGAAGAACTGAAAAATCGAAAAATCTAAAATTTAAAATACTTATTGAAAAATTGAAAAATCCAGAAATCCAAACATCAAAAATATACAAATTCGGATACGGATTCGATTCGGATTTAGAAATCGAAAAACTGAAAAATCGAAAAATCCAGAAATTGAAACTCCAAAATTTAAAAAATTGGAAAATTGAAAAGTCGAACGATCGAAACATCAAAAAATTGGAACTAAAAAGGAAAAAATCAGAAAACCGAAAAATCGAAACTTCGAAAAATTCAAAAACATCAGCAAATTGAAAAATCAATGGAAAACTGGAGTCGAAAAATTGAGAAGTCGAACAATTGAGAAACTAAAATAGGCCAAAACTGAAAAATCGAAACGTTAAAAATTGAGAAACTGGTAAATCAAAAATCAAAAATTTAAAACATTGAAAATTTGAAATATCGAAAAAGTGAAAAATAGAGAAACTGAAACTCCAAAATTTAAAAATTGAAAAATCGCATAACTGAAAAATCGAGAAACTGCGACATCAAGAAATCGAAAAATCAAAGGATCGGGAAATAGAGGAGTCGAAAAAGTCGAAAAGTCGAAAAATTAAGAAACCGAAATAGGCCAAAATCGAAAAATGGAAAAGTTAAATCTCGATAAATCGAGACATCAAAATTTTCAAAAATCGAAAATTTAGAAATTCGGAAAATTGAAAAATTGAAATATAGAAGAATTGAAAGCTGGAGAAAACTAAAAATCCAGAATTTTAAAAGTTGAAAAATTAAAATAATGAAAACACAGTCGAACAATTGAAAAATCTAAAGTTTAAAAACGAAAAATTGAAAATTCAAAATGTACAAAATCGAGGAATCAAAAACTCCAGAAGTCAAAAAATCGAAATGTCGAAGAATCAAAATACTAAAAAATATCTGAAAACTTAAATATCGAGAAGTTAAAAACTGGAAGAAATTTAATTAAAAAATTGAAAAATCGAATAATTTTTGAAAAAGAAAAATCGGAAAATGGAAAATTTAAAAAAAATATAGAAGAACCGAATAGTCGAGAAATCACAAAACTAGAATTTTAAAAATTGAAAAATTAAAGTATTGAAAAGTTGAAAAATCTAGAATTTAAAAAACGAAAAACTGAAAATCCAAAAAATAAAAAATCCAGAAGTCGAAAAATCGAAAAATCCAACAATCGAAATACTGAAGAATCGAAAAATTCAAAAACCCCAGAATCAAAAGAAATCTAAATATTGAAAAATTTAGAAACCGAAAAAGCAAAGAAGCAATTTCGAAAAATCGAAAACTTAAAAAATCGAAAAATTGAAAAACTGAAATTTTAGAAACGTCAAAATTGTGAAAAATTGAAAAATCAAAATATTTAGAAAATGATGAGGAAAAAATTGAAACAACGGCAAATTAGGAAATCGAAAAAAAAAAAAATCGAGAAATCTAAAGTTGAAAAATCGAATAATTAAAAAAAAATCGGAAAATGGAAAATTTAAAAGTTTAGAAAATTGAAAAACTGAAATATAGAAGAACCGAAAAGTCGAGAAATGAAAAAACTAGAATTTTAAAAATTGAAAAATTAAAGTATGTATTGAAAAGTAGAAAAATTGAGAAATCCAAATATTAAGCAGTCGAAAAACTAAAAAATCTAAAATTTAAAAAACGAATAACTGAAGATCCAAAAAGTAAAAATCCAGAAGTCGAAGAATCGAAAAATCCAAGAATCGAAATACTGAAAAACTGAAGAATCGAAAAATTCAAAAATCCCAGAATTGAAAGAAATCCAAAAATTAAGAAATTAAAAAAGTGAAAAATTTAGAAACCTAAAAAGCAAAGAAGCAATTTCGGAAAATCGAAAAATTGATGAACTGAAATGTTAGAAACGTCAAAACTGTGAAAAATTGAAAAATCAAAATAATTAAAAATTGATGGGGAGAAAAATTGAAACATCGGCAAATTGGGAAATGGAAAAATAAAAAAATCGAGAAATCGAAAAGCCGAAAAATACTGGTAGATTTTGATTAGCGGTTTAACATGCTTCCGACTGTTAAATGTTGTTGATTTTTTCCCCAAAAATCTTAATGCCTAAGGTAAAAACTCAAAAATGGGGTCATAAACCATAAACGGAGGAGACAAAATTTAAATAAGATTAACTAAGTATTGTGAAATTTGCAGATTACATCATTTCATTGTTGGTGGGGATGAGAAGAGAAATTTTGGTGAGCGTTTTACCATTGATAATACAATTTGAAATTATTCATGTATTAAATCGTTAAGATGTTCACTTATTCGTTGCGTAGAGTCGATATTGGCCTGAGTACGGTCTGGTCCGTAGATCAAACAAGTTCGCAGGCGACGAAAAATTAATTATCCCCACCAAAACTTTGATGACGTCATCTAAAAATGTGCTAAGTGAATCCTATTTAAAATATCAAGTTCACCCGCGAGGAACTTCTTCAAAAATCAAAATTTTCATAAGCTAAGGAAACCGCTCCCTTTTCCGTCTATACTGATTTAGTGATTACTCTAAAATTTTAAGTACAAATTCCCTTCGCCCAATACCGGCCCGAACTTTCCCGTTTTGTTGGTATTCGGTGTCGTCGGCGTTACCCCATCGGTCTCAGAAAGCAAAGCCGTTGTCAGGTCGGCACCTGTGCAGGGCCATTTCGCACGCATTAGCGACCACGAGGACACGCCGTGACATACCATGATTTGCAGCCGCCCGTTTATAAACGCCTGCTCGTAAAACAGCCCCTACGTCCTCCTTATCATCGACATCGACCAGAACGAGAGCGTCAACCCTTCACCAACCGTCCCCACGTCTCCGACGGGTGCCCTAAGTAGACATTTGCCTAACGTATTATCTCATAATTCCCCGAGTTGTGTTTAAGTTGCGCGCCGCCGGACTCGCCCTTTGATATATAGAGGGAGCCACGGTCTAATGTGTACTTAAGTTATTTACTAGCAGATGGGGTGGTCTCAGTCGGGAGAAAAGCCGAGATTTATACACCGGGAAAAGTTTCACTCCGAGTCATATTGTTTATCCATTAGCGCGGGACTCGGACGAGAGTTAAAGCAGAGCAAACAGCGTTTCTTTAAAATGCTAGGTTATGTTTTTCGTAAGTCGGTATTTAACGACGCGAGGACTTGCGAAACGGCCGTAAATTAACAACAACGACGGCTTTAGTTTATGGGCTGTTATTGCGGCTTAAGTTATTGTTGTGTTAAAGTTATCACTTACACTGTTACTTACTTTTTTGCGAAACTGGCACCACAAGTCGAGCAGAGGAACGGACGACTGCCTCTAGCTTCTTGATTCTGCTTTTGTTCCAATTTCTTTTCTTTTTTGCGTTCGTGGTTTCTGACGTGCAGCTTCCAGTTATTCTTTCTGACGAAGCCTTTGTTACAAATTGAACAAACAAACGGTCTTTCTTTGGTGTGTATGCGTAAATGCGGCTGCAGAGACGCTTTTACGAAAAATTTATCACAAAGGGGACACTTGTATTGTGCTATGGGTTTCTTTTTTGGGTCTTTGTCGTCGGGTAATATTACTAAAGGTTCAGTGTGTAGAACTTTGTGGAAGAGTAGTTCTGATGTTGAGTTTGAGGAAAAAGGACACTTGTCGCAGGAGCCAGCACTGTCGTAGTTTTCTTTGTAAGTGCAGGATTTGGTTCGTAGGTGAACTGAAAGTTCTTGGGATAGGGTGAAGGAAGATCCGCAGTGGCCGCACCTACAATGTCAAAACGTAAAAAATAAATTAAAGTTGACGTAAAAACAAACGTACTTGAAACTAAATTCTGGATGTTTAGTTCGAAGGTGGTCCTTGAGGTCTGGCAGGTTTTGAAATATTTCGGGACAGTAGTCACACTTTCGTTCGTCTTGTTTCTTCGTGGCTAAAATTCTATATCTATGTTCGCTTGTGTTTCTATGAACCCTTGCTTCGTCTTTGTTTAGGAAATTTTTGTTGCAAACCGTACAAATGAACACGTTGTCACCATGCGCTCTTTGTTTGTGACGTTTCAAAGAGATGTTAGACCTAAACACCTGCTGACACTTCTCACAAGTCAAATTATTCAAATTCGTGAGTAAATTTTGGGAAGTGTGTCTTTCAATTTGGCAGTGTCGCTTCAAAGCGATGTTCAATAAAAACTCTTCGTTGCATTCTTCGCACTTGATTGGAGTTATCTTTTTGACAATGATTGGCACGGATCGATTAATAACGGAAACTACAACCTCGTGTTCTTCGGAAATTAGGTGATCATACATGACTGCACTACTAGTGTGTCTAAATTTACACAGTGAACACCAGAAGTAGCCACCATGAGAGTCCGCTCTGGACTCGTGATACTCAGAAAGCCAGTGTTCCAAAAAATCCTTGTGGTGGTTAAAATAAAACTTGCACAGACCGCACTGAAACGGACTTTGAAGAATAATATCGTCAATATGTTCCAGAACCATCATTCGTGCAACATTTGTGGAAATGTCACCCTTTCGACAATGATAGTGAGAAATTAAGTGTTTTCCCATCAGGTTTCGGTTAACTTTGGAGCTGCAAACTTCACACCTGAGGAAAATCTTTTTCCGTTTGCGTTTCTTCGTGCTAGTCGTTGTGTCGTCATCAATCAAATTTGATTCGTCGATAGTTTTCTTTTTGTTGCGTTTTTCACTCACTATTCCGACATTTTCGTCAAATTCTTTGTCGTGTAAAGTTCGTTTGAAGTGTAATTCCGATTTCAGGTGTCTTTCGTAGACCACCTTTGATGCTAGTCTGCGATTGCACGGACGGCACCAGTACTGAACCGTCCCACTCGATTTGCGAAAGGGAGAATCGTCTGTAATTTTGGTCGAATTCTTCTTGATGTCCACAGATGGTATCCATTTTCCTTTGGTGTAGTTTGGAGCGGGAGCGTCTAAAGTGGACGGTTTCCACTTGCCGCTGGTGTACGAAGGTGGCAAAATATCTGTATCTTTCTTCAATTTTGACTTGGGTTTCAAGGGTTCGTCTTTGGGTTCGTCGTCTGGTTTCCATTTGCCTTTGGTGTGGTTAGAAGGAGGCACGTCGTAGTCTTGACGTGCTTTGGACTGACTCCATTTGCTCCCGGTGAACGTTGGTGGAGGAAAATCGTAGGTTTCTTTAGGCGAGAGGGGGTATGAAGGTTTCCATTTTCCTTTAGTGTGAGATGGAGGAGGCGATGTTCGTTTGATAGACGGCTTCCATTTGCCTCCCGTGTAACTCGGTGGAGGAATATTCCAGTCTTGTCGTTGCCACTGAATCGGAGACGACGGTTTCCATTTTCCCCCAGTATGGTTTCTGGGAGGCGCGTCATGGTTGTCCTCATCCGACGATTCGTCCACATCGTACTCGTAGTCTTCTGAATCTATATCGCTTTCTTCGTACACGGTGATTTTAGGAGGTTCTTCTTTACGTCGTTCCAAATTATCAACGGCTTTAATTAACTTCGACTGGTTGTCTCCGTAACCTAGTTTCAACTGGTGGCCTCCAATCCAGACGTTTTTTCCCGATTTGGATTGCGGGATTTCTTGGTTGTCTTTCTGCGAAGTGGACGCTTGGATTACCGCTGTCGTCTTACTTCGGGTTAGGATGCCCAAATTTTTCCCCGAGGTGGAGTTAGTCAGTTTTTTGGTGCTACTTTGGAGTTCCAAAGACGAGAAGAAGTCGTCCGCTTTTAAATTGAAGGAGTCATCAGGGGGGAGAAGTTGACTAGGCAAAGGTGACTTGGGGATGTCGACCACGTTTTTGGAACATCCGGCTTTGCGGTGACTGACGTAGTTGTCAAGTCCGATGATCGTGGTGTGGCATTTCAGACAAAAGTGGGTGTCGTCGTCGTAGTCTCCGATCATTCCTGTAAAAATACTTTTTGTTAGACACTGAACCGGTGAATAAAACCCCCGAACCCAATCGAAGCTCACAGCCAGTCTAGTCATCGTGAGCCCCACTATTATAAATAATAATTAAGTGCGAGCGAACGGTGGCGGCGCTGAAGGGTTTGAGGTGGTGGCGGATCGATGGGGAAGCAGTTATTCGGACGACAGCCCCAACATAACTGCCTCCAGAGAGGCTCGTCACTGGCACATCACCATTTGATTAAAAGGTTTGCACGGTGAGATCATCGGCACACCTTCGACAAGATGGATGCGATCGAGTTCTGCGTTGTTCTTCATGGAAGTCGGGTGAAGACGATAAGGTATTTGCATAAAATGTCAATCGTACGTCCGCGACTTGCAACATCGCAATCCAGAGAGCCGAAACTTGACGGCGACCGAGTAATAGCTTCAGTCTGAACTTGTTATGACGCTCTTCGTGATAGGAATGTCTCATAGCTGAAGCTCAGTTCGGGATGGGAGTCTTAAATGAATGCAGAACTTGCATGCATGAGATGATGGGACCGAAACGTAAAGTTTGGATTAATAATTGATTAACAGCTGGAAGGCGCCGCTAGAAACGGTTTTTTATTAATCCTGGAGGGTGGAGAGAACAAGGATCCGACACATATGTTCCTATGAATACCTGATCGTTCAATCAAGCTTTCGAGGAATGACAAAAATATGAGGACTTGTTCACTGTATTGCTTTTAATACTGCATCGGAGATAATTTATGACAATCGATAAGTGATGAAATTTTTTCGAAAACCGAAACGCACGAAATCGAATCCACTTAGCCGTTGGTCGGGTGTTGAAAAAGCCCGCCGCCCACTCTTTCTGAGGAAACTTCTGCTGTTATGTATCAGCTTCGTTAGTTAAGAGTAATAAATCAATTGTGGATATGAGTGATGACAAACAAGCTAAAGTAATCCTCTAATTCTCGTGGAATGAGATGAGGTGATGTTTTTGCGAGGAACATCGCTGTCCGCAGGGATGATGGATCCATTACTTTAGGTCGTCAGAGTGCGGACCTGCAGACTAGAAAGCTACACAACTGGCCGCTAATTATTGTGAAGTTACCGCCCGTCTAATTGAAGATGATTGAACGGACGGCTGGCAAGTCGACTAGGCCTCGGCCGAACTACGAGGAGGACTTCCAGCAGGCTTTCAGGTCTTCAACATCGAGGATCCATCACCGCCCCGAGGAGGCGTCCTCCAGGCATCAATCTATGTTCAAATTAGGAGCGTTGCGGCTAATTGCGGAAAGAGTCGGTTTGAGGGAATCTCTGATGTGACAAAAGTATCAGCGCTGCCGGGAATTAAGAAGAGCAAGTGGCCGATTTGAGTTAATTAAAAAAAGTAGGAAGACCGGTCCCATAACTTGCGAATATCTTGATTTTCTATCGGCGATGAACGTTGTCGCATAATTGTAATTTAGTGTCGCCTCTCTCAGTTTTACTAATCTGATGATCCTAATGTGTATTTAATTTTTAATAATTTGTCTTATTGGATTAAATTTTAATTCTCATAAGAGCCACGGGGAGCGTGGTTTCTATCTAAATGTTTATACTTGTATTTTGTAAACGAATCTGTATTTCTTTCGTTAGATTTAAATTAAATGCCGCCTCCGGGCGCGCTTTTTGTGTAATAATCATTAAAACATGATCTCGGAAGGTGAAAAATAAATTGAAAATTTAAAGTTATGTATGTGGCTGAAGTAAATTTTCCATAATCCTGGCTGGTTTGTAATATATCTTGATTTTATGGTGAGTGAGGAATGTAAGCGGTGACGTAAATCAATCTGGTAAATTAACGAACCTGCAGTGCAGTGCCGACTTGAAACTTGATAGAACGGTGGTGGATTCCAGGCTGACCCTAAGCTATAATTTTTCATTATGTCGTTTGACTACAAAAATTCGACTGAAAATAGCGTTGTCGTAATTGTGTATGCGACTGTCGCAAACTTAGTTAGCAAGAAATAGTTAACGCGGTAGCTAAAAGAGTTACGCACAGACGCCGGATCGATCGTAATTGAAACGCAAATCTAAATTACAAATGTCTTTTTAATTTTTACTAATTTGGTTAAAGAGAGACGGGAAACGCCGAGACGAGGCGGAGGAAATGAGCTGGCGAACCGCTGTCTCATTTCATTAAATATCGTATCAATACGTAATGAAATATTTGTTGAATTAATTAAACATAGCCGGAGAATCTGTGCCAGACACAGATAACCAGTGCTGCCACTGTGCCTATTAAGGACACTGTCTGTCTGTCTCTTTGCTTGTCTCCGAAACTACTGGACCGATCGTTGGCAAATTTTGAGTGTATTAGGATTATTCTGTACTTGTGGTGTATGAATCCGTGTTGACTTTTTACCTTTTACGTACAGATTTTTGGGGGAAAAAATCAAAATTGTGTAACATTTTACAATTCGAAAATGCAAAACCTAGTGCTCTGAAATTATGAACGCTATGAATTTTTAGAAAAAATTTTTCTATTTTCGATTTTTCGACTTTTCGTATGTTTGATCACTCGATTATAAAATTCTAGAGTTTTTTTTCGATTTTTGGAATTTCCGATTTTCGGTGTTTCGATTTTCGAATTTCCGATTTTCGAATTTTCAATTTGTTTGTTTTTCGAAATTCCAGTTTTCGATGTTCTTTCCGCTTTTTCAATTTCTCGATCTTTCAGTTTCATTCAGCGAATTTTCGATTTTTCAATTCATCCACTTTTCCAATTGTTCTATTTTCCATTGTAAGGAATTTTCGGTTTTCCGATTTTTAGTTTTTTTTTTATTTATCAAATTTTCGATTTTTCGACTTTTGATTTTTCGAATTTTCAATTTTCGAAATTTCGAATTTTCGATTTTTCGAAACTCTAATTTTCAATTTCACGCTTTTCTATTTTGGAATCTTCGATTCGATTTTCAATATTTTGTTTTTTCTAGATTTTGTTTCTCGAATTTTTCGATTTTTCGAAGTTTCGAATTTTAAATTTTTAATTTTTTTTAATTTTCAAGTTTTCCATTCTTCATTTTTTAAACTTTCTGACTTTCCTTTCCTATTTTTCGATATTCAAATTTTCAATTTTTTTACTTTTCGATTTTCACTTTTTCGATTCTATAGTTTTTTGATTTTTCAACATTTTTACTTTTCCATTTTTTGATTTCTAGATTTTGAGAATTTTCGATTTGTCGATTTAGAATTTTCAACCTTTCTACTTTTAGATTTTTCAGTTACGATTTTTTGGCTTTCGGATTTTTTTTTATTTTCGATTTTCAATTTTTCGGCTTTTCGAAACTCTAATTTTCATTATTTTTTAATTTCCATTTCTTGATTTTTCCATTTCCGATATTCTAATTTTCAATTTTTTTTATCAATTTCTCGATTTTTTCATTTTTCGATTTTTTCATTTTGTAATTTTCGATTCGACTTTCAATATTTCTTTTTTTGTATGTTTCGTTTCTTGGATTTTTCGAAATCTCGATTTTCGAAGTTTTGATTTTTCGGATTTTCGTTTTTCGAATATTTGACTCATCAAATTTTCATTTTTTCGATTTTTCAATTCTTCAATTTTTTTAATTTTCGATTTTTCGAATTTTCGATTTTTCGAATTTTCAATTTTTCGAATTTTATATTTTTGATTTTTTTTAATCTTCAAAATTTTCAATTTTTTCATTCTTCAGTTTTTAAACTTTCTAATCCTTTGGTTTCCGATTTTTTGATATTCGAATTTTCAATTTTCTTATTTTTAGATTTTCAGTTTTTACATTTTTTAGTTTTTGATTTTTCAACCTTTTTGCTGTTCGATTTTTCAGTTTTAGATTTTTTGGTTTTTCGTACAGGTTTTTTATTTTTTCGATTTTCGAACTGTCGATATTATTCAATTTCAATTTTTTAATTCCCAGTTCTCGATTTTTCCATTTTCCAATATTCTAATATCAATTTTTTTAATCTCAATTTCTCCATTTTTCCATTTTTCGACTTTACGATTTTCCCATTTTGGAATTTTCGATATTTTGTTTTTCCATATTCCGTTTCTTGGATTTTTCGAATATTTGATACGATGAATTTTCATTTTTCCGATTTTCGAATTTTTGATTTTTCGGCTATTCGTTTTTTCGAATATTTGATACATAGAATTTTAATTTTTTCGATTTTCGAATTTTCTATTTGTTTCCTTTTCGATTTTTCCGATTTTTCTTTTTTTCAATTCTTCGATTTTTCAACTTTTAGATTTTTGATGTTTTTCAAATTTCAATTTTTCAAGTTATCCATTCTTTATTTTTTAAACTTTCTGATTTTTTCCTTTCCGATTTTCTGATATTCGAATTTTGAAATTTTTTACTTTTTGATTTTGAGTTTTTCGATTCTTTGGTTTTTTGATTTTTCAACTTTTTTACTTTTTGATTTTTTGATTTCTCGAATTCTAGATTTTTAGAATTTTTAGAATTTTCGATTTGTCAATTTAGAATTTTCAACCTTTTCACTTTTCGATTTTCACTTTTTCGATTCTTTGGTTTATTGATTTCTCGAGTTCTCGATTTTGAGAATTTTCGATTTGTCGATTTAGAATTTTCAACCTCTCTGCTTTTCGATTTTTCAGTTTTCGATTTTCGAAAGATTTTTTTTATTTTTTCAATTTTAGATTTTTCCATTGTTTCAACTTACTGATTTTTCCATTTTGGAATTTTCGATTCGATTTTCGATATTTCGTTTTTTCTGTTTTGTTTCTTGGATTTTTCGAAATCTCGATTTTCGATTTTTTGATTTTTCGGATTTTCGAATTTTAGATTTTTGATTTCTTTCCTTTCGATTTTTTTTAATTCCTATTTTTCGAATTTTAGAGTTTTGATATTTTTGAATTTTTCAGTTTCTCTCTTCCTTAGACTTTTCAACTTTTTTGTTTTTCGATTTTTTGATTTTTCGAGTCCTCGATTTTTTGAATTTCTGATTTTTTGACTTTCCGAAGTTTTTTTTT